TTGTAGATATAGAGATAGTTCGAGAACTTTTTGATCACCCCTCGTACTAGTTGATACTTACACAGGGTTTTTCATATCGATTTTATGTGTTTAATTTCTTTGTGTTTCATTGGTGATAATTAAACTTTTGATAGATATTATAAGTTATCTGTAACAAACTTACAAACTCTTAATTCTAAACTTTGATGGTGCTCATTTTTCCTTACCTGAACCTGAATCAAAGAGAGTTTATTTCAACACGTACACTATCTAACAACTGTTCGATAATAATACTAAATAAATTACTTCAAGCCACACTATAACACAATTCTTCTTTTAATAGTGTTCATATTATTTGAAATATTTTGCAACTGTAATTCTCTTCTACATTTAAAGATTGTTTTGTCCCTCCATATTAAGAAGAGGTCTTAAAAACAAAATTCTGTGCTAAAAATAGATCACGTGCTGCTATCAATGAACTACTTTCAGGGTTCTTTACACTCTTTTTGAAGACAACGATACCTTTTAATAGTGTTCATATTATTTGAAATATTTTGCAACTGTAATTCTCTTCTACATTTAAAGATTGTTATGTCCCTCCATATTAAGAAGAGGTCTTAAAAACAAAATTCTGTGCTAAAAATAGATCACGTGCTGCTATCAATGAACTACTTTCAGGGTTCTTTACACTCTTTTTGAAGACAACGATACCTTTTTTTGAACTTAAAATTATCATTTAAAAGTGCAAAATTTAGACATTTTCTCAACAAATGGTTGTAGACAGAACATTAATGCACAGTTTGTGTATTTTTTTGGATTTTTTAAGGCTCTGCTGAATTCTGTAGCTGCGCAGTTCTAAGGGGCATATCAAAAGCATTTTTCTGCAAAAGTATAGATTATATATGCACAACATGCACTCAGTTATGCATATTTATTTATCTTTATCATAAGGGTTTAAAATTTGATCAAAATATAATGTACTTTAGCCATTTGAAGAAATGTTTACAATTTGTTCTCACTGCACTAAAGGTGGCGTACATCCCCCTTAACTGTACAGAAATGATCATTCCAATGGAAATTATCCGGCGTTAAGAACATGACACAGTCATGATGACTTTGGTAGTTGTCCGGTTGGTTCGGTGACCAGTCCTTAAATGATGCCGTGTTCTGGGTGGATGTCCACACCCACTCTCCCTCAGAGACAATGTCTGATAGTCCTATCCAGTACCCCTCTGCAATAAAACTGATACTTGTAAGTTGTATATGATTTATGGTGGTAGACAAGGGGTTCACCTCTCCATCCCCTTTTCTTATTAAATATCTCATTATCTTCCTCTACACCCACCCCCAAATTTCCGGATGCCTTTCCGTCTTAGAGAATAAACGAATTCAAGCTTGATAAAACAAAATCGGAACAGAGCAAACAGGTAGGTCCAAACAACAGATGTGGGATTAGGTTCTATGGAAGAGTGAGCATCCCCTGCCGACCGGTCACACTTGCCGAGTACTCGTTGTCAATCCATCAACAATTCAGTGTGTAAATAATGGACTAACAATAACTATGAGAAACGTCAGTCAGCGTTTGACGAAATGATAAATAGCAATTGTTTCCCGCTTTTGGCAGACTTGTTTTTGTATTCATATAAAGAATTTGTCCAGGATCTTATATGTGAACTGAAGAAAAAAAACTCGCTGTGGCCTATCACTGAACATTTAGATATATCGACGAGGTTTCGTCAATTAACAATTTTAACTCTTGTTTCAATCGTCAATTCATTCGTCCTTTCTTATCAGACCTAAAATTATCAACTATATACCTTCATCACAGATCGACATACGCAGTTTATATTTCTCAGTTGATTCGATAAGCCAGAGTATGATCTACATATTAACATTTTCTATAACGAGGTAAATTAGTAACAAACATTTTGATGAAACAAGAATATCAGCGGTATTGTTAAAAGTAACCATTTTCGAAAGTGGTCGATACAATGGCCTTGTCAGCAAATATATTTCATGGGGATTCCAATAGATTGTTGGAGAACCTGGTCTCCAAATACGACATGGATACTGTCAATCAAAATCTATCATATTTTTAATACAAACTCTAAAGCACTTGTATGTTCAATCAGAAGGTTCTTTAACAAATTAAATTTGCAAATGATCAAGGTATCAAAACATCCTGAACTTTTTTTTTTTACTTTTTACTGCTGTTCTATGGTTCGTTGGAATTTTAAGGTATCTACATCTGATTCACAACATTTCTCGAAAATATTGTTGCACAGTACTTCTGAAGTTTCCCCTGTTTCATTACTGTTAACATTTTAGGGGGGATTAAACAGAGATGCTTGATAAAATATTTACTGGAATCCACTATGTATCTTTGTTTACAAGTCTTGTCCCAAAATTCCTTAGACAAGCGTTGTTTTGTAGATACCCCATGTCATACATTAATGAAACTTGGTATATAGATTAAATAAAACAGTATCTGATAAATTTATGAACAAATATGGAGTAGCTACACAAATTATTCCATTTTAAAAGACACATTTCATAGTCGAGTGTAGAAAGGCGGCGCAATACCCAAAAGTTGCAATTAAGATTTGGTATATTATATTTAAAATCCTACGGAAAAGTAATTACCACCCTGTATTTTTTGAATGGAAACGAACATTCTCAACTACTTTTCCTCAAATTTTGCTCTTTCTCTTTTGATAAATAAGAATTTTATAACGTTTTATATACATGGGGTTGAAATCCGACTTTTTGAAAAAAAAAAAGCGGCCGCGTTCGCACAGGCGGCGCACTGGACTATGGTCAAGTGTTTTGAACCTGAATTCACTCTTACAGAAATGTATAAATCATTTATGTTTAGTAGACTAAGAAACTTTTTCTTGTCCTTAGTACTTAAAAAATGACTAAAACGGTTTCTTTTTGTATGTGTGAATAACAGTAACTAAAGTAAAAGACAGAGCTAAGAAAAGGGCTTGTGCAACTCCATTAGATAAAGCAGACAAAAAGCCGAAGAAATGTTGCGTTTTCAAATTATTATTATTTCATACCTGTACATGCATATATACTTTGTTTACATATTTTAATGTTTGATCATATCATAGTTATTAAGATATTTCACATTTATAACTATAACCGTTTCGTTTATTTTAAGAATCTGATTCTGGTAATTGAAATATATTTTCTCCAAAATTTGAACCGTTGACATTTGTATTTTTTGACGTTGCAGATTGCTGCAGTTGTTAGAGAACGATATCACGTTATATGTAATTAATCGAAAAGTGTTCAAGTAAACATGATAAAACATCGTAATTTATCTGCCAAAAACACGCTTTATCTACCCTGAAAACTTTATAAAGCTACATCAATTTCTTTAAAGTATGTGTGCCCAGTCTACGAAATTTTGGGACAACCCTCGTATGAGGATTTTAATGGAATCCTATACACATGTAGAATTTGGTAATTCGAATTCAGGAAGATATTCAACATTGACATGCCATTTTCTAAAATTTGTTCCCAAAAAAAAAGAAGCTTTGGGTATATCAAACCCTAATACACTTAACATTGGACTCTTCACTAACCTCAATCCAAAGAATGTTTCGATGTTAAGGTAGTTCTACACTGGGCGCTAAATGGGCCCAATCTTAAAAAAATCTGCTTTTATAAGTTGGATATACATCCCAGCAATGGATAGACACAAGAAAATTTATATGTCAACATGTTCACGTTTCCGCTATTGCCTATCGGAGTACTTACCCCAAAACGTAAAATTCTGAAATTTACCTATCCTACATTTTGTTGTATTTAAATGAATGAAAGTCTAAATATTCAACTTTAATACACAAAATAGAGAAGAAACCTGTTAGTAAACCATATAATCATTGTTTTGCGTGAATTATTAAAATTATTTGCACTTTCCCAGGCTAACATATCAAAATGAAATATGAGAAAATGTGCTTCACAGGTCAATCTCGGTCATTTTAGAAAAAAAATTATGGACTCAAACTTGAAAAATTTGCATTCTTCTAACTAAATAACCTTTAAGAAAAAGCAGAAAAATGTTTATGCTGACTCATTACTTTTCATGGTATGAGCTCTACACTAAAGAGACCCCTATAGTTTCATTCCTCCAAAAGTTATATATTGCCACATTTTCCTGGAGTTCTATTAAAGTTTGCGTGTATACTTGTATTAACAAGGTTGTACATATCAAAACAATGCTAATACACACCCTATACCTATTGTTCCAAAAATTTTTTCTTATAGTACTCTAAAACATTAAAACACCACTTGTCTGTAAATTGGAGACAATAAAATGGGCGTGATTGACTGATTCTCACAAACTGGATGCTTTCGTTACAGAAAGCTGCGAGTGAATATTTTTTTTCTTCATATAATAATCATAATTCTAGTTTAAAGATAATTATGCATTGTGATTGTTGAGTAAGCAGGTTGAAAGAGGGGGGTATGCGTCTTATGAAATAATTATTATTCAAGGTGAATTTATAATTTGTGGTGGATAAAATTAATAAATAGACATAATAAACAAATATCATGAAATAGAAAAGACAATTTATATTCCTTGAGATGGATACTTTTTTACCATCACATCATAAATACACATGTAGCAATATACAATATTACTGTGAGATACTGTGAACTTTGAGTTCAGTAAAATGATACCCCCGACTCCTATATGAATATTATGACAGTGTCCATGTGCTATGTGAAACCCGAAATATGTGTCAAATCTAAAAGCAAAATAGCAGATGCACAATGACCATGTGTAATAAAGATTTTTTGAAAATCTCATCAAATTCTCTCAATGGTATATGAGGAGTTGCGAATAAGAGTTGGGCATCCCAAAGCGTGACCGTCGGACAGACGAACGGAGGGACAGACATCCCGATTAGATATACCCTTCTGCTTTTCAAGTGGGGGTACATTATTTGTATCTCCCTCATTCCTTTTGTTATTTTATACTAGCTCAATCAAATAACTCGCCTTGAGGATTTGTTCCAACGATGTGTGAGCGGAGGAAGTTGTTTTCGTCAACTGTCTTGTCAACTTCCACCAGCTTGGATCCAAGCCTTTGGCAAAATGACTGAAAATTTCTTGCATTATACAGGAACATAAAACAAAGAAATTAATGTGAAAAATAGATACAGATCTGATCGTAGAAAAGTAGTATTATTTGACTCTGAAAATAAAGGTTTTTCGCGGAGAAACAGTTTGATATTCGCATTTTATTATGGAAAAGCGGAACTGGGTATGACACTTTTATCAAAAGCTAACTTCTAAATGTTGAAATATGTGCATTGAGTCTTATTCTACTCTTTTTTAAATAAACTTTTTGTTTTGTGTCGAGTTACACCAAAAATGTTTATCAGAGTAAAATAAAGTATATATAGTTGTATTGTTTAATACCTCAAAGCTAATAAAAGTAAAATGTATCTACGAATTTTGTTTTTTTTTAAACAACGGAATTATTCGATTGACTTAAGTATATACCCCAGCTTCGATGAAGTCCTCGGGAACATCTTTAATGAACAGATAACAGGAAAACCTGTGCTTAATCCAGTGAGAAGGGCAGTCGTCCGACCATATTTCTGAAAAATCCAACTCATAAAATTTAAATAAAAAACATAAAAATTCAAATAAAAAGATTGATATATAAACAAGATAAAATGACGCAAAATGTTTGTGAGACAACATTGCCCTGTATGACACCTTTTAGCAAGGGTTGAGGGCCTTAAATGCTAGTCAAACTCCAAGGTCGAAGTCAAGAGATGAAAACAGTGTCTTAATTAATATAAGGAATACCTTATCCTAAGAAGTAAACATGCAAATTATGAAAGCTCTGGTAACAACTGAATGAAGATTAGATATTTTCAAATAAGTCAAAATCCAAGGTCAGGGTCAAAGGTAAACATTTGTTTTCAAAGGAAGTTCATGTCACAAGAAATATTACTATAGAATTTGAAAGCCAAAGTCTAAAAGTTAACTGTTTAAAAGTTATGACTTAGATAAGAGTTTTTGTAAAAGAAGGTCAAACTCTGTGGCCAAAGTCAAGAGGACAAAATATTTATACCCGCTGGAAAAATCTATAACGATAACACCTGATACATTAAAAGCCTTTGTCTCAGATGTTCAAAGTTTTGACCTAGGTTATTTTTTTGCAAAATTCGGTCAAGCTCCAAGGTCAAGAAGTCGAAAATGTTGGTACTCAAACAATGTTCTTGTCAAAAAAAAAATGAAATATGAATGCCATAGCTCCAACCAATCTAAAGTGATGGTTAATTTATAAAGTTTTTGCGGTCAAACAAACAAACAAACAGGTTCACAGACGGACGGATAGGGCAAACTTATATACTAGTTCCCTGACTCTTTGATTGCGGGGGTAGAAAAAATAGAATACAAAATAAACTCAAACATTAATACTTATTCTTGTGAGTAGTATTGGTTGAACTTTAATGTTTCCTTTTTATTCAGAAGGTTCATATCTAGGCACATTTATTAACTCCAGTCAGCATATAACAAAAGCTCGCGAATGATATTTAGAGTTCTGATCGACAACATCGCCTTTATATTGTATAGAACCGCACATGTCATGAATTAATTTTATTTTTGATAAGAACCATACAAATTCTTTTATGTATACCTTTTTAATACCAGCAATACAGATTGAGATTAACTATGAAAGCTATGCATTATCACATAAAAGTAGGTAAGGGTGTAAGAGATACATTTTTAACTACCATTTGCAAAGCAAATAAAGACGAATGTAATTAACCAGTTATAATTCATTTTTTGTGTGTTCAGGTAAGTCCTAGGTTCTTATCAGAGAAATATCATATACTTTGGTCACTTCAGGCCATGACACACTTAAACGCTGAAATTAGTTTATCTTAGTCTGTATAACAGAAAATTGACAATGAGAGAACATAAGGCTTTTTTTAGGCTAACATGAAAGGGCTAGTATTATGCTCCATAATACATTTTTTACATAGTAGCTAACACACACAGTTGTTATTTTGGATTTGTTAATTTCACCTAAATAATACAATGACTTCTTTAGTTTTTTGTACGGAAATACATAGATATAACCCTTATGGTTTTTAATTAAGATATTTTTTTCCACAAACACCTCCGTACGTAACCTTAACTTTCCTGCAAATGTCGCAGCTGCAGCAAAAAATATACATAACCCGTGTATTAACAATCAAAGAAAGTTATTTTATTGTTTATAATTAAATTCATATAAAACATTTAAAATAAAATTAGATAATTATGTTAAATATTGTAACATTGAACAGTCCTATTGACTCTGGTAGTTTTCGGAAGTTTCTGTAATCAGGCCTTAAATGATTCAAATTGAATATTCCCTGTGGAAGTCTATATCCACTCTCACACAAGACAATCAAGACAATGTCAGATAGTCTCCTCCTGTATCCCTCTGCAACAGAACTGATACATGTACTTGTACGTTGTTTATGATCCACGGTGGTAGACAAGGAATGTGCTTCTCAACCCTCCTTTTCTATTTGAATTCTCAATATCTCCCTCTCCAACCACCATCGATTTCCATATGCCTTTCCGTTACTGTTCATATTTTCCATCAGGACAAAGCTTTTTCTGTATGAACTGTATAGATAAAACAACCAATATTTAAGATTAATAGTCCATTAAACAATACAAATTGGATCAGAGCGAACAGGGACATACAAAGGATCAGGTGTGGGATCGGGTGCTATAGAAGAGTGAGCACCCCCTGCCGACCGGTCACACTCTCTGCAAGCAAGCACCCTGTTATGACTAGGAAATGATGATGATAAAATCTGTTGAAAATTCAATGTGTAAATTACGGAAAAAAATAATATTAAAACCGTCAAACAGAAATGGTGACGATCGAGCATAGAACACAATCCCGATGACTCTAATAGATTATTAGAGGGACTGGTCTCCAAAAACCACATAGATGTTGTCAATCAGAAACTCGATCATCTTTTTAATATCAACTTCAGAGTACTTGACTGTACAATCAAAAGTGTCTTAAACAAAATTCTTTTGCAAATGATTAAGGACAGGGATAAGAAAGTGAGTAAATTCATGTGTTAAAGTAAATTACAAGTATAAAAACTGCAGCTGCAACGATTGCAAAATGTCTCGACTTTTTTTCTACTTTTATGCTGTTCTTTTGGTAAATGTTGGTGGTTTCAAATTTTCCAAAAGTTCCCTGGAATTTTTAGGTATCTACATTTGATTTACAACACTTTTCAAAAATATTGTTGTATAGTTCTTCTGAAGTTTCTCCGACATTACTGTTAATATTTTAGCGAGAATTAAAGAGAGAGGCTTGATAGGACATTTACTGGGACCCGCTATGTATCTTTGTATAGAAGGATTTCAATCGAATCCTATAAACAAGAAGATTTGATAATTCGAATTCATTTTGGTTGTTAAAAATATTTTAAACTGACATAAATTTTGTAGAATTTCCTGTTCGTTATTTCCATATCCTTCTCCCTAGAAAAAGAGCTATGGGTACATACCCCCCCCCCCCCCAAAAAAAAAAAAAAAACCTTAACAATGGACTCTTCACTAACCTCAATTCAAAGAATGTTTCAACGTAAATAGACAGAATAAACAAATATCATGAAATGGAAAAAAAGACAATTTGTATTCCTTAAGATTGATGCTTTTTAAGTTGTTTTCACAATCACATCAAAAATAAAATATACGGAATTAAACTAGAAGTACTGTGAGCAATGAACTCACTAAATGATAGCCCGCCTCCCATATAAATATAATGGCAGCTGCCATGTTATGCTATGGGAAACCCAAATACAGTTATACAAGATAAGAGATGGATACTCCAAAGCGTGACAGACTGACGGACATACGGACGGACGTACAAACGAAGGCACCCGATTACTATAATTTTACCCTTCCTCTTTTAAAGTGTGGGTACTATGATTTGTATACCCCTCACTCTTTTTGTTCTGTTTATGCTAGCTTAATAAACAAGAGGCCCAGGGGCCACATCGCTCACCTGAGAAGCGTTAACCATTCTGTTCTTTACCAGATTTTCCTCCTTGTTCCATCCCCACCCTACACCACTGATCATAATTTAGACATTTAGAAATCTACACTACCGTAGGATTATTCCATGTGCAAATAAGTTTCAACTTTTCTGGCCCAGTGGTTCTTAAGAAAAACATTTTCAAAAAAATTCTATATATTTCTATGTAAAACTTTGATTCCCCACTGTGGCCCTGCCCTTCCCCCGGGAGTCATGATTTGAAATAATTTAGAATCAATACTACCTCAGGATGTTTCCACATAAGTTTCAGTTTTTTCTTGCCCAGTGGATTTTAAGAAGAAGATTTCCAAATAATGTTCCTATATATTTCTATGTAAAACCTTGATTCCCCATTGCGGCCCTGCCCTTCCCCCGGGGGTCATGATTTCCACAATTTAGAATCAACACTACCCCAGGATGGTTCCACATAAGTTTCAGCTTTTCTGGCCCAGTGGTTCTTGAGAAGAAGATTTTTTAATGACCCCACCTATTTTTGTCATTTATTGATTATCCCCTTGTGTGGGGGCTTGGCCCTTATTTTAACAAATTAAATTTCGCTTCACCCAAGAATAATTTGTACCAAGTTTGGTCAAAATTGGCCCAGTGGTTCTTGAGAAGAAGTCGAAAATGTGAAAAGTTTACAGACGGACAAACTGACAGACAGACGGACGGACGACGGACAAATTGTGATCAAAAAAGCTCACTTGAGCCTTCATCTCAGGTGAGCTAAAACTTGTCTTGTCGATTTGTTCCAACGAAATGTGAGCGGAGAGAGTTGTTTTCGTCAACAGTCTCGATTTCCACCAGCTTGGATTCACGCCTTTGGCAAAATGACTGAAAAGCTTTGCAGTATAAAATAAAGTTGAAGATAAGTACATTTCAGAACTGGTAGGGAATAAGTACTATGATTTGACAAGGAAAATCAAGATTTTTCGCAAAAAAAGCAGTTATGGTACATTTAATAGCAATTTTAATTCCGAGAACTGGAACTACGTATGAATCTATTACTAAAAACTTACTTCTAAATGTCGAAGTAAGTGCATCTAGTCTAATTCTACTTTTTAAAATAAACTTTCAAAATTATTATTTTTGTGTCGCGTTACATCAAAAATATATATCAGAGTAATATAAAGTTAATAATATTATAATAGTATTTTCTATACCTCAAAGCTAATAAAAAGTATAATGTATATACGATTTTTTTTTCTTTTTAAGCAACTGAGTGAATTGATTGATTCGAATATATACCAAAGCTTCGATGAAGTCCTAGGGAACATCTTTAATAAACAGATAATAAGAAAACCATTCTTTAATCCAGTGAGGAGGACAGTCGTCCGACCATACTACTAAAAAAACCCAACTCATAAAATTTGTTAACATAAAAAATCAAATAAATAGATAGATAAATTAACAAAATAGAATGAAATGTTTGTGATAAACAGATGCCCTGTATGACACCATTTGGCAAGGGTTGAAGGGCTCAAATACTAGTCAAACTCCAAGGTCAAAGTCATGGAGATGAACATGTTGTTAACTTGCCTCACTCAATGAATATAAGGAAGACCTTGTCCTAAGATGCTAACATGCAAGATATGAAAGCTCTAGCATCAATTGTGGAAAGATTAAATGTTTTCAAAGTTAATCACAATCCAAGGTCAGAGTCAAAAGTCAACATTGTTGGTATCAATAGGAAGTTCTTGTCACAAGGAAATTTACTATTAAACGTGAAAGCCCTAATCCTAGTTGTAACAATTCTAAATTCATGACATTGATTAAACTTTTTATAAAACAAGGCCAAACTCTTATTCAAAAGTTTAAAATATTTACACCTTGGAAATATCTTGTAACAATAACAAAAAAAAGATGAAAGGATCAGTCCTAACTGTTTAAAATTCTGAACAAAGTTTAATATTTATAAAAGTCAGTCAAATGCAAAGGCAAAGAAGTCAAATAATTTTGATGGTACCCAAAGAAAGGTATTTCAAAAGGAATGTGGAATGTGAATGCCATAGCTCCAACCAATCGAAATTTGTGGGGAATGTTAAAATTTTTGTTGTCAAACAGATAGAAGTACGGATAAGGCAAGAACTGTATACTATATCCCACGAATCTTCGATTGCAGGGTCAGGAAAAATAGAATTGAAAATAAACTCTAAACTGAGATACTTCTGGTGAGTGGTATTGGCTGAATCGTTTTCCTTTTTTACTTCGGAAGGTTCGTATTGTATAACTCTTCCTTCTTTTTACTAGTCTGAGTTATGTATATTTCAGGCACTCTAAGGTCGATTTTAGTTAATTTTCTATGAACATTTAACAACTTCGGTTCGTATATTAAACAAAACCCTCGAGAATAGGTTAAAAGTTCTGACCCCATCTATAGACATGCTGGAGATCCGCACATGGATGAAATAATTTTTGATAGGAACCACTGTTACAACGCACTTTGAAAAATTACGCACTTTGAAAAAATTTTTCAAAGTGCGTTAATTTTTGGGACCAGGTTAACGCACTTTGAAAAATTTTTTCATAGTGCGTTGAATTTGGGACCAAATCAACGCACTTTGAAAAATTTTTTTCAAAGTGCGTTAAGACTGTACATCATAATTTTACACCATGTAAACATTTAACGCACTTTGAAAAAATTTTCATGAAACAAAAGGAATTAGACATATATTTTAGAAATAGACAACAGTATTATCCCCTCGCAACGTATGATGGGATATAGTGATGAACTTTCAAGAATCGCCATATTTTG